ATATGTTTAATTTATATATTAATTATGAATTTAATTATGAATTTAGTAATGTACTTAATTATTATTTATTAAATACATCTGCATTCAATAAGATTAAATGCACATTTTGTATTTAATACACACTGTATTAAAACATATGTTGTTATAATTCATACATTTCATAGTCTCCACGTTGCTGCTGAGAATTAATGATCATTATTTATAATCACAAAATATTCTTTATTTAAAGCAAAAAAACCCCTCGTGAAATGTTTAAAGTATATCTGTCACACTACCAGCAGGTCAGAGATTTTCATTGCAAAGACATTTTGAACCATGGTAGAAAAATATTTGAAATTAATACATACACACAGATTTCTGGGGATTTGTGAAAGACATCTATAGCTTACTAATTAACACCTTATTCTCCATATTTTAGTGTAAGAAAAATACTTAATGGTGAAGCTATATCCCACATGTGTACGTTGCAGGAATTTACACTGCAAGCATTTGCAGCACTTTACATTCAGCATTTCTGGATTATTTTTTCTTGTTTTCTACCTGAATTATAGCAATTGCTGTTCTTCCTCCGATAACCCTCTCAGAAATAACATGTTTAAGCCTATATAGGATCAAAGCTTCAGGGTTAAGATGGTAACACATACATGAATGTCCTTAGCTCCTGTTAACATTCATTTCAGTTATTTTGATTCATATAGCAACAAAATCAAAAACAGAAGAAATGTCATATCTACAAACATTTAAAAAATTAAAATACATGCTAAGAATCATCTGATCCAAAACTCATATATAAAAATATTTTTAAAATATTAAATAAAACCCAAGGATTGTCTGATCCAAAACTCAAAGCTAGGGCAAAGACTTTCCTTGATTTCACAAAACTGTGGAGCTTCTGAAAATTTAGTATTCAAACCAATTTGATTTTATATTAGTATTTCATTCCCTAGAAGTCTTCCCAGCATACTAAAAAAAAAGTGTTTGCATTTTTTTAAGTATAGTTTTCTTTTCGATGGTTTATTTTATTTTTCTACTTATATGACACCAATTAATGCCCTGGATTGTGCCTGAGAGGATTGTTTTAAAAGGCGATATCATGTATTGCTGTTTCAGCACATGTGGAAAGAGAGTGCATTTATTTCTGTTTCTGGTTAAAGATTGACTGCAACACAGTGATCCACTTGTGCAGATATTTTGTACTGGCAGGATGTTAAGAAACTTAAGTTTGAGAATTCTTCATGTTTATTCAACAGAAACTATCCTGTAAAGGAACTAGTGTCTCAAATGAAGACTCATAGGTCTTTGTGTGATACTCCTACCAAGTGAACCAAAAAGAAAGATGAAGACAAAGAGTCCAGCCAAAAGATTGCTATAATATGCAAAAATTTCATGTATCCTCTATCCATACAATCCGGCAATGCTTCAGTGCATGCTATAGAACCACAGTAGTTTCACATTCATCAGGCGCTGGTGGTCTAATTTATCTGAGATATGCCTGATTTCATCCTACCCATCCAAATTTTAGGATGTTCCATGAAGCACAGCCATTAGAAAATGCAAATAGAAAATAGATACTTTCAAGGTATTAACAACAAATTAATAACACTTTAGGATATTATCAGTCCTCATATTCTAAAGCTCAGTTTAGCTAACAGTTAAACCTGCAAGTTCAAAAAACTGTTTCAATTTTCTTTACAGTATGCAGCCCACAAGAAGACACAGTGTATTACCTCAGTTTCTGGAGTAGGAGATGGAGTAATGGAACCAAGCGATCCTTTTCGTGAGTCCTGGAGATCTGTGGGAATGGACACGGGACGCTGCCACTGAGTTGTTCCTGTTGGTATGTGCCAGTAGTAGATCCCAGCAATGTCATTGATTTTCTTCCAGCCAGGTGGTAAGTCTGGGTCTGTCTGAAATGAATGATCACTCCAGATATCTGCTGGGAACAGGGCAGGGGGAGGGTTGGAAGAGGGGGAGAAGAAGAAAAGAAGAAAAAGATCATGAGTCAAGGTTACTAAGACACGAACATGACTAAGACGAGTCTGCTCCTGATGCAAGTGATGCACAGCCGGTACTGCTGTACTGTACAGTCCCCGTGTAAATGAACATTCTAAATTATTGAGACTCAAAGTAAGGCGACAAAGCCTAGTTTGACTTTGTTGATAAAGAGAGGAAGAAAATACAGCACTTACCAAAAACCTGTTCTAATATGGCAGCTATCTAATACCACCAGATAAACTAGCTCTTCTTAATAAGTCTTAGCTTTAAATACATTAAATCACAGCATATAAACAAATATTTGGAGTTGTGGTGTACTCTATCCTCTTCATCATAGCACCTTTCTTTATCAATGCATGGTAGCAGAGCACATATTTCTGCTAATCAAAGTCAGCTTATCACAACAGAACGCCACCATCACCAGCCAAACAACCTGCACTGGTTTTACTTACAACATCTGAAAAACCACTTGTTCAAAATGATGAGAACAAAAGAACTGAGCAATCATTTTATACACACACATCCCAATTGTCATAAATAAACATACTGTTTTCAATTTATTTTATAATGCAGTGGGAAAAAAAAAATCAAAACCTCATCCACAGTGCCAACAGAGAGACAAAATACCGGCTCCTACTAACTGAAGGATGCATCAGCAATCCATACCATAATTAGAGATACTCCCAGATTTGCCTGGGACTACAGATGCATACAAGAGATGTCAACAGTGGAGAGCACATATTGCTCTTTAGAAAGGCAGAGGTGTCACTTATGTGCTGCCCAGCTGTACCCCAGCAGGGGCAGTTACCTTCTGCAGGATAAGCACTTGCCAGTGGCTGGGAAGAGGAGCCACCCGCAACTTTCCAGCTAAACTACTTCAGTGGTTTCCTTATGGTACATGCTATTAACCCACTGCTGTGGGGGTCTGCTCCAAGGACCACTGAGCTGCAGGGAGAAACAAGTAGCCTCCTGGACTGACATTTCCACCAGCACTTGAGCAGACATGATGAAGGCTGACATCAGGACAATGAACTGAGCTAGCAACAAAAAAAGAGTGTAAAGGAAGCACCGTACTAATGAGCTGTAGCTCACCTAGTCTGGCAACTTGTTTCCAGCCTTCAAAAACAGCCCTCACAACACCCTCAGTGGATGGATAGATGAAAAACCTATTTTTATACTGCTGCTCTTAATCCATTTTTGGAATTAAAAGTCTATCCTCAAGCATCTTACTAAGTGTTTTATCACAATTGCTTATTTCTGAATCTCTCCCATTTCTGCTACCCACAGTTACACACACACACACACACATACACATGCCATAACAACTGAGAATAACTCTAACACTCCATGGCACAAACAAGACCCATTTCTTCCACAGAGCCACTTAGGAGTGCTTAAGTTACTGATTTACCATTTGCTGACTAACCTGAACAAATTCTGCAGAAGAAAAACTTGACAATATTATTACACTTAAATTCAATAATGAGGCTCACATATGGCCCAACATCTGAAATCATCAACAATCATATAATCAGTTCTAGAAATTCCCAAATATTCTAAACATCCCCATTTTAGCCTCCGCTAAATTCAAGTACATAGTTCCTGACTCTTACGAATTTTAAAGTCCATTTACCTTCAAGTGAATTCACCTTCAACTTTTTCTCTGTGAGGGTGACAGAGCCCTGGCACAGGCTGCCCAGGGAGGTTGTGGAGTCTCCTTCTCTGGAGACATTCAAAACCTGCCTGGACGCGTTCCTGTGTGACCTACTGTAGGTGATCCTGCTCTGGCAGGGGGGCTGGACTAGATGATCTTTCGAGGTCCCTTCCAACCCAGAACATTCTGTGATTCTGTGTATTCCGACTGAACAACCCAGATGCACTCTTCTCAACTGTACACAAAGAAAACCAAAACACTTTCAATAACTTGACCACATTCTGCAAAAAGTGAAATGAATCCAGTATCTACACTGAATTATGCTTGGCAACATCTGCAAATCCAGATACACATGGGTAAGTTTACGTAACTGGTTCATAAAACTCCAAAACGTCAGTAATGTCAGTGTTCATCAGACTTACATATTGGGCCTTTCAACGCACATCGGAACAGGAAAATAATAAGCCTTTACTATGCAGAAAGATAAAGCTTCAGATCAGCTCAGGTTCATACAGTATTAACCATACTTAAACATTGCCAGGACATGAAATGTTATTTTCTTCACTTTAAGATAGGCACTGCCACTGTCCTTGTTATACACACATATATGTACCTGCACGCATGCATTCAAATATAGAGTCACCAAAGTGTTATGCTATGGCTGCATTAAATACTGCTTTTAAACCAACTGACCAAAGATGCAGAGGTACCAACATACTGTTATTTATGTTGTAATAACATGCAATACCAGAAAGAACTGCAGACTTAGAAGAAAAGCAGACAAAACTCACAGCAGAAAGAAAACTGTTAACCCAGAGACATAAAACAGTAATATTTCTGCCATGTTTAGTTAGAAGAGAAGATATCATCTTGTATGTGAATGAATACTTGGAAAGAAATCATGTAAAACAGCTGGGAGCACTCTGGGATAAGAAAATATCACCTAGCTGACTACTATAAATTTACTTTGAGAATTTATCCATTAGTCAAAATAAATACATCAAAATATTTGCTTATGCTTGGAGATAAAATAAGAATTAAATTTCAGGGTTTTTTTGTTTGTTTTGTTTTGTTTTGTTTTTCCCAATTAATACAGCTCAGGACTTTCAGAGAGCTGCATTTTCCACACAAAACATAAAAAAAAAGATAAAAAAGTAAGAGTCACCATACAAAATCTGACAGGACAGATGAATGTGCTTATGGCATCAGAGACCCACTACAAGACAACAACGTTTTTTCTTTATCTGAATATGGAATTACAGGTAGTAAAATATTTTTCCTCTAAATTTGAAAGAACCAACTCAATAGCACAACACTGAGACAAAAGCATCTAATTCTTCTTGCACGGCCTCTTATGAAGGCAGCGTTTGGTGCTCAGAGCAAAATGAAGGCACCACACTGATACAGACATACCCTGCTACAGAATTATAGAATAACTGAGGCTGGAAAAGACCTCTGAGATCATCAAATCCAGCCTATGACCCAACACTGCCACTTCCTCAGGCCGTCCATTCCAATGTTTGATCACCCTCTCCATGAGGTCTTTTCAGTTCCTATCTTCTTGTAGAAGAGACACGGACAGCCAGAAGACAGAGAAGAAAAGAAGGAAGTATTGGTACATTGATCCAATTCTGTTGACATGGCATCAAAAAAGTAGCATAAAACAAACCCAGAGGAAATAGAATTGCACACACTGGACTTCTTCATCCAAAATTGAGAACTCTTATGTCTGCAAGGTTTTAGAAGTAAAAACATTACATGGAAATGCTCGCTTTAGATCTGTGGATGGCTAAGTCTGTCATGTTTCCTCAGTGGCAGATCTCTGATTTCCTCCCAGTTATTCCCAGGAGATGAAATTCTTCCTCACATCTCCTGGCCTTTTCCATGCTGCTCTTTATGCTTTATTGATGAAAGGGTGATGAACCAGGAACACATCATTGCTCATAAAACACTGATGTCTGAAAGTATTATTGCTCTGGTAATATGGAAAGCATGACTTAGTATAGAAATTCAGGGTATGATTCACAAAAAGAAGGTATCCTTTTGTATTTGGGTTGGTTTACCTACCATGAGTATTACAGTTAACCATGATCTCCTAAAAAGCTACACTGTAAGATATTTCTTATGTAAAAATGTATAAAGCAACAGGATTAACAAAAATGACGCTGAACTACAATAAAAGAGCCACCGTAGCTAAGCTGTATGAGCAAGCAGACACTGGGTTTCTTTAAGAAACTTGGATTGATGTTATCTGTAGAGCTCGCCTTTCTACATCGAGAAAGAGTCAAATTCTGATCAGCAGAAAGACTATTTTAAGATATAACCGCTTCAAAACTCCGCATAGGAAAGAGTTACATCTTTTCCCAGGCGTCACGCAGCTTCACACAGCACTGCAGACCCTTTGAAAGCTCCCTCTATTTTTAGAGAAAGACCTTACTGAACAGGGTGTGCCTCCACTGCCTACATACACTCCAGAGATAAAGTCCAAGGTCAGGCTTCATCATAGGAGACTGAGCAGTCAACTTGCACCTGATTCTTCACCTCTCTTTCCATCACTGTCCAAACCCAGGGTGCACAAGAGCCATGACTAGCGAGGCAGACCAGCTCACCCCACATCTGCCCACACACACCAGCATGAGCACACCGGTGAGTCCCCATGGGCAAGCTGCTGCCTGGAAATCTGGCTAAGACAAGTGTGAGCTGTCACCACCCAGCTCCTGAACCGCAGTACTGCTAGCTTAAAGGTCAATTTAGCTAGAAGTTCACAGCTGGTCTGCTGCAGGCAGATTCACATGAAAGGACAGGTTGCAAAGAGAGGATTGACATTGTTCAGCTGGAGCTTTGTCTCACTGAAGACAGATGATTAAAGCCTTGTCCATATGGGGCGAAGGTCTCCAACTAGCTTAACATTAAGTAAAAAAACATGAAAGTAAAAGAGATCTGGTAGAGGATTTTGAGGACTAAAATGGCAAATTACATAAAAACAGGAAACATGTGATTTAAGACAAGAAGCTAACTTCACGTGAGGAAAACTGAAAACCGGAGTGGATTTCAGAGGGCTTTCCTGCCTCCACCACCTTCCTGCACCAGGACCTGACAAGTTCCTCAGGAAACTAGATCTTTCCCCTTTACCTAAAGTTTGCTGAAAGCTGGCACCATAGTCCCTTCTCACAAAGTCCAACACGATGGGACACAGGACTACCCCCCAAAAAATCCCTTTGTCACCGAGCTCGGCAGGACTCAGAGAGAGGAATTCGCTTGCTGCGCCCCACCATGCAGCCTCTGCT